TGTAAGTAATCTTAAAGATTCCTAAATGCATCTACTTTCGGAAGGCTAAATAAAGTGCTTTTGCTTTCGCCTAGAAACACACAGGGTCTCCCTGACATGGCTGCTTCAACACTAACTGCGGTTACTGAAACCACGCGTTCTTTCTTTGCGTGAACATTTGGGTGGCATTATGCAAATATTTCCATATAGTGTGGTAGATATGTGGGGGCGTGTTAGAATGAGCCGTTTTAGGGGGGCGTGGCAGAGTCTTAACTTTGATAAAGAATATCTCTTTGGATTTGAGACTTTAGTCTTTGCAACTTCAGGGATCTTATCTATGCACAATCAGCTTGTAACACTCCAAAGAGAAAGGAAAACTTGAAATCGCATCATATGACCCCTTTAAACTCTGACAAGCAAAATATCCTGTCAGTTCAGAGCTCAACAATAAGGACGTCCTACTGAAACTGCATCTTACATTTATTGATATTGTCCATGTTTTTATACCTTGACAACTAAAATAAAAATGTAATTTTATTGATTTAAACCCATCTGCAAGGTAACATTATCTAGATAGCTAACAAATTAATTATAAATAAATCAATGCTGTGCATCACATGACATCATATCACAGCAAAAAGTTCATTAAGTTGCCACAGTTTAAATTAAAATTCTGTTTGTTAGTTTCTTTGTTTGTTTTAAAGAAAACTTTTTTTTTGGCAAATATTGTCAAGTTTTTTTTTCTTCTAAAACTACAGGCAGGGCAAGTAGAAATCAGAACTACCTTAATGAATGCTGAGCCATGCAATTGTATGTTCTTTGTTGTGTATTCATAAACTCACAGGTTCTGACCTCTTTCCAGGTGTGCAGCAATCATTTTAACTACCTAAAACTAGAAAATTTCTATAAATTTCCACTCTCACCCCAAAACATTTGCTTTTTCTTTTTTTCTATACTTTTCCTTCTGTCATCTCTTATGTGCTCTATGCTCACTAAAGAGAAAACCAAGCTTAGTATGTGGTCTTAAAAGGCCCGCAGGAATCACTCTACTCTCTTTCATCAAGTGTAGTCCACTCTTTGTCGTTACTGCTAAGAGGAAGTGACACTGACTTCACCGGTATCATTCTGAGCTCTGCAGTGTGTACATGGCAACTATCAAACCATCACATAGAAAATAAATGCTAAAATGAAGGCTTAAACAAGCTGTCACTCTCACAGCTGTGCGAGATAAAGCAAGGCATGAAAGCATGTCTCAGTCTTCACAATGTTCTTTTTTTTGCAGGCAGCAGAATCAAAACAAGGCCCTGTTTCAAATGACATACTTCATGTGGTCTCGCAGTCTTTCATGTGCACATGTCCATGACGTCCACAAGGCTGCAGGGTGCCCCCTTTGACGTTCAATAATTCAGAATTTGATAGAGAGATAAACAGAGAGACAGACAGACAGACAAGTGCGTTGAGCTCATTGAAACTACCAGTTCAGTCATTAACTTGATAAAATCAGTTACTCTGACTACTCTCGACTTGTCTACGAGTGTGCTGACACAAGTGAGTGCATCTATCCTGTAGAATTTGGCTGGACAAAGAGAAAACAGGAAAAACAATTGAAATCCAGATATAAAAGTGAGCGAAGAGCCGGCTCCTCTCATTCAGGAGCCTCAGCAACGGTGATTGGAAATCAACGTGAACAAAATTCATCTGCCTGTTACCCTGCTTCACCCATCGATCTACAGCTCTGGGAATCTTCCAAGCTCTATAATCAAAAAAACGTCTCAGTTACGTATGTAACCCTCGTTCCTTGAAGGAGGGAACGGAGACGTCACATCGTGACCGACGAATTGGGATCTCGCTTCGAGAGACCAATCTACTTTGAGTGTAACTAAACGAGCCAATGCACTTTGGCATGCAATTATTGCATCCAGCTGCTGCTGATCACAGCGTGAGCATAAAAAGGCAGTCGGTGCAATGCATACCAGGTTTTCGCTGAGGAGCCAAGCCGATGACCCGGCCGCTCAGCGGTGGTACAGCAGCCGTGGTGACGGGACGTGACGTCTCCGTTCCCTCCTTCAGGGAACGAGGGTTACATACATAACCGAGACGTTCCCTTTCAGTCGGTCACTACGAGTCACGTCGTGACCGACGAATTGGGATTCCCTACCAAAGCGCCAAGGCCGAAGCTTCTCCACAGGCCGTATAAGCATCGCCGGACAGGCCAGATGAGTACCTACAGACCCGGGAGGGGAGGCACGGTTCGCCCTGCCGGGTGGAGGCGGTATTGTGACACAATTGCATCGCAACCGACCGCTCCACCGGGGGGACCCCCGTATACCCCCTAGCTGCACCACCGTCGAGGGTGGTGAGGGAGGAGGAACCAGCAGGTCGGTTTCCGGCAGTAAAAGGTGCCGTCCATGACCTGGTGAGCTCCTCATGCACCTCGACCACCCTCGTGCAGGTCCTTCAGTGCCTTGGCCTGAATTAACCTGCAGTAACGCCGTAGCGTGTAAGGCGGAGGCAGCTTCTCCACAGGTCGTATAAGCATCGCTGGCCAGTCGAGTACCTACAGACCCAGGAGGGGAGGCACGGTTCGCCCTGCCGGGTGGAGGCGGTATTAGGACACAGTTGCATCGCAACCGACCGCTCCACCGGGGGGACCCCTTATACCCCCTAGCTGCACCACCATCGAGGGTGGTGAGGGAGGAGGAACCAGCAGATCGGTTTCCGGCAGTAAAAGGTGCCGTCCATGACCTGGTGAGCTCCTCATGCACGGCAGGGAGGAAAGGCACCGAGGCGGGGCGCGAGCCACCCCGAGAAACCAATCGTCCAGCCTCGAGGGCTCAGGACGCGGTGGAGATTTCAACTCGAGCCCTACCCTCTCGGCGGCCCGGGAAAGCATAGCCGACATCTCCGCATCCAATTCAGGCCTTGCCACCACCCCGGAGGGCGGCAGCGCAGCCGAATCTTCCTCTCCAGAGAGCTCTCCCTCCGATGCAGTGATCGACATCCGGTCGTCGGGAGGAGCACCAAAGGATACGGCCCAGCGCATTCCTTTGGCCGCTCAACTGGATCTGAGGCGCTAGAGGAGTGGTGGGCCCCCGAGGGTTGGTTCCCTGTCTCCGCATCCAATTCAGGCCTTGCCACCACCCCGGAGGGCGGCAGCGCAGCCGAATCTTCCTCTCCAGAGAGCTCTCCCTCCGATGCAGTGATCGACATCCGGTCGTCGGGAGGAGCACCAAAGGATACTGCTGGTACGCTCTTTGAAGAGGGTCCAGCACGTTTCTTTGGCTGCTCAACTGGATCTGAAGCGCTAGAGGAGTGGTGGGCCCCCGAGGGTTGGTTCCCTGAGGGGTTTGCCACCACTGTAACCCTCAAACCGCCCGTGCTACTGCCCGAAGTAGTCCACGCCTGGCTGCCGCCAGGACGAACACTAGATCGCGGCAGAGGCAACGGAGCTCCGCCCCCTGGAGGAAACGGAGCCTGACCCGCAGCTCTGAGATGGTCATCTTCCCGCAATGGGAAAATGACTCATCCACGAACGCCACCTCAGCGTGCTTCATGCCCAGACACGTGAGGCAGCGATCGTGACCATCACCCGGCACCAGGTAACGACCCCATCCAGAAACACACGGGTGAAATGGCATCTTTAAAAAGACGATCCATCATCTTTACAAAGACTCTTTCAGGGAAATGCTCTTTTAGTGCTGAGGCGCACAGGGGAAATGGCCGCTTGCAGCACAACAGGGGGTAGTGCAGCCTGAAGTGCGCAACCCACTCGACACAGGAACGACCACTGTTGAAGCGCCATCCGCCAACACCAGAAGCTTCCAAGAGCGCGTTGAACTCGTAGCTCACTGAAGACACTTGGATAAACAGAACGTGAGATGGTCATCTTCCCGCAATGGGAAAATGACTCATCCACGAACGCCACCTCAGCGTGCTTCATGCCCAGACAAAAGCTGGTATGCATTGCACCGGCTGCCTTTTTATGCTCCCGCTGTGATCAGCGGCAGCTGGATGCAATAATTGCATGCCAATGTGCATTAGCTCGTTTAGTTACACTCAAAGTAGATTGGTCTCTCGAAGCGAGATCCCAATTCGTCGGTCACAACGTGACTCGTAGTGACCGACTGAAAGGGAACAGATAGACATTTCCCTCTCTAAGGCACGAGATGATGTCGCATTGAAGTCATATGAAATGTCACTTAATAATGGGCTAATAAAAAATCTGAAGTAATTAGATTAGATTATGCGATGCAAACACTAAACTATGCATTTGTGAAAAAAAAATTCATATTCAATATTGCATATTATCGTAGAGAACTCAACTTCTCGCCTACATATGCATTGTCAAATGCACAATACATTTTATTAAACACAAATATATTACACACACTGACAGTGTTATCTCTCAAACTGTGCCAACAATATGAATTCACCCTCACTGTCTCCTGTTACTGTCCTCTCGACATTTCAATGCCGTTTCCAAGGAGACCAAAGAGCATTGGAATTCTGCAGTGGAATGCAGCCAAGTGATTGGAGGAGAGGGAAGAGTAGTTTGAGAGCAAATGAAAGGCAGTGAGCTGACACCTATGATTTATAATTTGCTCTCTGTTACTAATCTCTGACCACAAACTAGTCTTAAGTGCACAGTTTAATTACATGTCCTTACACCACAGTGCTTTGGTAAATAGCAAAATAACTTCAGGCAAATTCTAGTCCTGTCAAATGTGAATGAAGCAACCTTATGCTTCAAATATTGCATCTCTACAAATGTGAACGCATTCATGACGACTCTGGGGGTATTTTCATAGAAGCTGTAGTGAAGGGTCAAGAAGGGAAAACAAGTTTAGCCCACATACAGTGCACAGTCAAAAGAGATAACAGGAACGTTCACATTCAAACACATGCAATGAAAAGAAAAGCACGGCTGCACAAAGCAGATACACAGTTGCCTTGGTTCATATAAACTCTGTAAGCATGATTCATCGCTCTGCCAATAAGAAAAAGCTTTTTCTTTTTCTTACCCATGAACTCAATGCCCAAGTGATCCACTGCTCCAGCGAAGATAGACGAGGGCAGCAGTGAAGGAGGAGGGAGGGAAGAAAAAGAGGAGAGAGAAAAAGATGTTAGAGACATTCATTGTGTGCATTCTATTCTCATTGTATACATAGATATTGTGGGTTACTATTTACGTAAGACCGTACTGCGATTGCTATTTGTGTGTACAGCTTTTTCAGAAAACTCATGTTTAATAATGTAAAGTAAAACCATGGCTGAAATGTTGAGCGAGTTTTCCTTTCACCATTTGCAGATAAAAAAAGCATATAAAAAATATCACTTTCATCTGTAATTGTGGATCAATGCCTGCAGTTCATTTAAACATTTCTGACATTCATGAAGCATTTCTGTGCTTTGGATCAGAATGCAGACCAGCAGGTAGACCAACACTGCAAAATTAAGTCATTTTATTTATTAATTTATATTTTTCCCCGTTAGTTACAATATAACTAAACATAACTATATTAATAACAACATAATAGAATATGATAATATCTAATAATAATAATGATAATTATAATAATAATAAATGCAGGGATTAAAAATAATTTCTTAATACCTTACAATGTTGCTTCAGGTAAAACTATTTTTAAGGATATTTAGAGTATGCCTAGGAAAACCACACATACACTAAAATATTAAGGTTTTTGCAGTAAGAGCCTTATTTAAGGAGCATTTAGAATGTTAGTTGATATATTAAGTTGTGGTATGATCACTGATTTCATGATATTATTGCCTTTGCTCCAAGCACAGAGATTCAGCATATTCTAATGTCTCCTGTAAATCAAACCGCAGGAAAACATCTTCATTATGCCAGAGAATTCCCAGGAGCTCAGGAAATGGAAGCTGTGCTCCTTCAGGTATGCTCTGTCGCAGATTTAAGAGTGCATGACATTTATTTTTGACTCTCTTTAATGCAGTGGAGTAAACAGTATGAAGTCAGAATACAAGACTATATCTCCTGAGGATCTGCGGATGTGTTGACAGCAGTAGGATAAGAACCAAAGCTCTTAAACAAAGACAAATATAGATACCATTTCTGCTTTCTTTGGTCAGACTCTTAAGATTTTACTCCATTTCTTATTTATGAGAACGTATCTTTCTCCTTCTTCCTCAGCATGCCATCAACCTGGGCTAATTTGACAGAGTTTGGACGATTGTAAAAGGCTCTATAAAAGATGTTGCTTCAAGTCAAAACCTCCCACCTGAAACAGAAGTCTGACAGGAAAATGATGGCATATTTAAATTTGGAAGGGAATGGTAGTTGCAGTCAATATGTATATGTGTTGGGTGCCCTTGGGAGTCTGTGTTTGGAAATGCCAACAAACTCATCAAATTTCCCTCGGAATCTTCTCAAAAACTGTCAGCCTCCACAGCAGAAATAAACATAACCTGTAGGCGTGCAACTCTCTATAACATAACACCGTGAGAGGTCCACAGTGAGATGCTCTTCCATCCATAACAAGCACAGGGCTTTTTTGCATCATTGGCTCCGTGCCGACGATTCTGACCAATCCAGGAAAAGTGAGGGAGTGATATGGCTGTAGCGTATAGTAGTGGCTGTGCCTTGATGTCATAATGTGAGCAAAGACAGACTGTGAGGCAGGTGCAGACTGTGGGGTTTCAAGTCCATTTACTTCCCCTATTCAAGCGCACACATGCAGACGGAGCCAAAAATAAGACCTTCTACCTGTTTGAAGCTGCTTGTTTAAAGATATGAGCCTTTGGGGAGGTTTTCTCCTTCTAAACTGCCCTCCAAACAACCAAGGACTCAAACACCCTAATTGCACACCTTCTGTTACTGGCTACTCAGGATAAATGCCCAGCCACTTGACTAAACGCATAGAGTCATGTTTTACCATAAGTGGCTCATATATTACAGTACCCAATCGCTGATTTTACACACCGCTCAGTATCTCAGATGAGATCAGTTGTGTCCCTGAGACAGGAAGGAAGACAGAAAAGGCTACTGATGCTTCTCTTGTCGTCCTTGAGAAAACACTCATATTAAACTGCCTCAGTCACAGGTTCACTGGGAATGTGCCTCAAATTGTGCTTACTGTCCCCTGAAGTCGACCTGGGACAAGGGCTAGTGATGAAACATTAATCTACTGAATGAGACTGTCTCAGGTATTTATCTGTCCTACCATGGAGGACGTTTAAACACTCTTTCTGGAACTCGGCAGTATCTGTCTCTCTATCAAGGAGAAGTGGGGTGATTGTGCTCGCTTTATCTAAATGTAATTGCACCCGATAGCCTTGTAACGCCTTGTAAATCCTGAGGCTTAGTGCTATGCAACATAAGAATAAATACCGCCAGACTAATGCAGTGAATTATGACCGTTTTTTTTTTCTTTTTGGCTGGCAACCACTGTAGTTGTCTGCAGGTTTGTTTTCTTTGCCCTAACAGAGAGAAACACGGTCGTAAACAGATTTATTCTGGATGCATTCAAAATCTGCATAACACTGACATTCCTAGGTCAGTTTTGATCCAAGCTTAGCAAACATCCATAATTTACAACTAAAGCAATATTGTATTTGATTTATACAATTATTAATTTCTCAGCAACATGTAGGGGCAGGGGTGTCTTGTCACCATCCTCCTCACTCTCTCTCATCAAGCAGAGATGGTGTCCTTCAGAGTTCTTGAACCACGTCCTTGACTGTGTCCTTTTTACATCCCTAGTCACATACACACACAGATACACACACAACTTCACTGAGTCTAAATCAGCTACTGTTGGAAGGCGTTTCATTTCTTCCCTTTCATTTTTATTTTATTTTATCAGCAGACAGACACACCTCCACTGACATCTCCCTGTCAGAACTAAGATGGATTCCATTTTTCCTGTGGATTCTATTTTGCCAGTCCCAAACAAATGTTATACATTGTCACTTTGAGACCGTAAAGATGTAACTTGAATATGACAATGAACAAATTATTTACTTCAAATACCCTGTGATGTTCAATAGTGTCTCCTCCATTGCACTGATCATCCCGTTCTTTACTGTCAGCAAAGACAGGTTCTTGAGTTGGCAATAAGGTTCTTTGAACAGCATTTTGGTTTCTGGGTTCTTTAAAGACTCATAGAAATACATAGAAAATAAGAATTTGAAAGTGTAAATAGTTCTTCCATGGCATGACATGAATCACAGGAAGCAACCGTTGACCGCTGAGAAAAGTGGCAACAAGCTCTTCCACTGTAAATAACAGAACTGATAATAATGGGAGCCATTTAGCTTTATTGCATCGTGATGTACCACTTGCATCCAGTGGAGACATGCTGTCAGCCTGTAAAATGCTTTTTCGTTTCTAATTGTAACCTTTAATTTTAAGCATACAGCTGCTCAGTCTACTCAAGCCTGTGAGTCGCCACATTTCATCATGCGGCTATTCGAAATCTAACATAAGAGAAAATACAGCTCTCGCACAGAAGTTCCTACAATATAACACAGAATGAAAAAGAAGAAATCCAGATATAGACTTTAATATCTGAGTGGGCTGTTGTTGCTTTCATTAGCTTCAGTATCACCTGTTCAACACAAATGCTCGCTGGCTCATTAAAAGTTTCTGCGTCTGTGCTCAAAGAAAATGGGACTAGTGAAACATTGAGCAGAAGTTAAATATTGGCCATGCTGGTCTGAGCATATCAAACAACCCTCTCACCTTACAGGGGTCATGTGAGATGGAAACAATCTTCCAGTCGAAGCTAACATGTCAATACTAGCCTGTATCACACAGCAAAGAAACTGAAAATAGAAACTCTTTTCAGATATTGACAGCAATTTTAGACATTCAAACACATTGAGTGTACAATGATAAGAAAAAAAGATGCAAAGCACAGAGAAACGATCGAATGAGATCATAGGATAAGAAAGGAAGATCTTTCTGTGAGTAAAATACAAAGCAGGAGCGCAGGAAGGAGGACAGTGAATTTCACTGCATTTCCTCTGATGTTCTGCTTTTCTCCACTGTCATTCCCTGGTGATGTGATGCCAAATGGAAGGTTTCTTCAGCCAGATGGCAGCAAACTCCCTGAGCTCCAACTAGAAGGTCCTGTAATGCACGTTCTGCTTGGTGTTATGGGAGAATTAGAGGGCTGGCTAAATCTATGGGTTCTTTACACTTCATCGCTGAACTTACTTTGACATTTCAAGTGCAATTGAATAGGCTAATCATTCTGTTTTCAATTATGATAATAATAATGATATTGTTATAATATTATCATGAATTAAGTATTAAGATTTAAAACCAGTGAAAACTGACTAAACATGAACCACTTCATGGATTTTCTTAAGAGATGAAAAATGCAAAAGGTATTAAAATGTTTATAATAGAATGCTTAAAAGATATTACAATATTTAAAATAAATCTGAAGGATCATGTGACACTGAAGACTTGAGTAATGGCTGCTGAAAATTCACTTTGCCGTCACAGGAATAAATGACACTTTAAAATATTAACACACAATGTATTAAAATGTATATATGTACACAATTTGAATTTGAAGTTATTTTAAATTGTAATAATATTTCACAATATTACTTTTTATTGTATTTTTAATAAAATAAATGCAGTCTTGGTGAGCGTAAAATACTTGAGAGAGATGTTTACTAAATGTTATCATTCACTAACTCCCAGTGCACCATAAGTCATGAATTATAGGTCTGAATCTACAAAACACAAAACAACCATTTCTTAGATTTGATTTAAGTATGATTTATGCAGTGGTTGCGTCAGAATCTAATCTTATCTTTGAGCAATACAATGAGGCTTAATGAGACCCCACTGAGTGACTGTTCATTGCTAGCTCAACGTTAATGTTTACCTATAAAGAGAGACAATTTCAGCTGCAGAACCTTAACAAAACGAAACACATTTCTGCACTCCTGATCCAAAAAGAAAGATGTAAATGAACCCACGAAAGACCATAAACTCTACCCATAGAGAGCCTGAGGCTACAAACGACCAGCTGAACCCCATTTACTTACA